CGCCCGTTGAAACTCTTCGCAAGTTGAAACTCCTCTCGATGACGGGAAGCTATTGCTTCTGCCGTCGTCGTCGACGAGTGGACGACGACGAGAATTCTAGGCCGCGCTTGTGCGTAAATGTTCATCTCTCTTTCAGTGGTCGTTCTTCCAGTCTCTAGTGATTGCTTAAGCTTTGCAGGTATTGCTGTCGATTTTCCAACTGCAATTTTTATTATGAAGATAATGAAAATGAGAATGGTTATATAATTATTAGTATCTCATAGAAGGGACAGTTTTATTCTCCAGTGGGAAACTACAGAATTACATATATATATATACGGGAGTTCCTAATTAGGATAAAAGGTTCTCAATACAGAAGGCAAAGTTTGTCCCAATATGGACCGACCTGAGCTGGTGAATAATTACAAGTATCTGTCACAATCTGACACCTGTCAATTAGAGAGCACGAAAGAAAAAAGAGCGCATATACACTTTTGAAAAAAAACTTAACGGTACTGGTTTGGCAAACAAACTCAAGCTCAATGACTGTCTCGACAATTTTTTCTTCGAAAACATTAAATGATCCAACGGAAAGCATTATTCGCTTCGACGATTAGTGTACAAAGAATACCTATGCTCAATCAGTAAATGGCGATGAAAGTAATTATAAGTAATTCAGATGCATGTTTTAAAGTTGTGGGAGTTTGTTTGTTTGTTTGTTTCCTGCAATGGCGTGTATAAATCTGGTCTTTTTCCACCAAAAAACTAAAGATAAATGAGACCCTTTTACTGGACCCAAGGGGAATTTTAATGCGGCTTTTTCTCGTTGGATTCCTTCAGTTCTTATCGTGCAATTTACTGAACAAATGGCCAAATTGAACAGACTTACAAAGACTTACCAAAGCGTATTTGTAGTAGGACTGGAAACTTCGCTCACCGTTTTACAACGAAAAAAGTGTCTGAGAGAATTCAGATATTAAATGAATAAAAGTTCCGTCGATTACTGATTCGATTGTAAAAAAAATTTCTCACAGTTTAACTTTCGGAGTTACTTTTTGTGAAAGATTAAAGTAATTAAAAGCTGTTTTTTAGGCCACGTGTCCATTTAATGACACATTTTCTACCACAAATTTACCCGGGAGGACCTCAAGTACTAAAGAAAATTAACCTTGAAATCAAAGGCGGAACGAAGATCGGTATTGCAGGCCGTACAGGTGCAGGAAAGACTTCTGTTTTGGCAGCTCTACTGCGCATGCCAGATGCTGATGGACAGATAATGGTTGACGATATTCCCATAATGGAGATTAACATTCAAGAAGCTCGACGATGCATATCGGTTCTAGGACAAAGTCCAGTCCTATTCAGTGGAACGCTGAGAAAAAATCTCGATCTTTTGGAGCAGTTTCAAGACAAGGATTTATGGCAAGCATTGAGAGACACTCAACTGAAAGACGTAGTTGAGAGCCTGGAGGGACAGTTGGATTACAAGCTTTCCGAACATGGCGCAGATATCAGCGTAGGAGAAAGGCAGTTGATTTGTTTGGCTCGTGTCTTGTTACACCGAAGCAAGATCATCATCTTGGATGAACCCACTGCACACGTAGATCCAGAAACAGAGCACAAAATGTGGAGGGTGGTACGCGAGAAACTGAAGGACTGTACCGTAATTACCATAGCTCACCGCCTGAGCTCAATTAAAGATTGTGATATGATTTTGGTTTTAGAAAATGGAGAAATACGCGAATTTGGCAAGTTTGATTTATTAGTGAGAAGAGAGGGAGGTATATTGAGTGAAATGGCTCGTGTTTCAGGTATCTAAAATGTGCATGGAAGAAAGTCACCGAAAACCTTGCCTTATCTTATTGTTCTTGGTAAAAGATGGCAACAAAATTAACCAAATGCGACAGAAAGTTAATCCCGCTCCCTTTTGAGCTGAGGTTTTTCAAATTGGCTTTGCAATGTGTTTTATTCTACATTTTTCGACATTTTAGCTCTTTTTCCGTTTTAGAATGATTTAGGTAACAAAAGCCTCTACTGAATTATTGTCTTGACGTCATGGCTCTTCTTGGGAGCACAATAACGCAGAAGGAGCATCAAAAAACCTTAAAGAAAACACAATCGAATTCGCAAAGAAATTGGTAATCTTCTGTTATTTTATACTTAAATGGTTGTATGGTTTTTAGAGATTTAAATAAGTAGATGTACTTGTCTGCCTGATTTTTAAACTAACAGGGATAAAAAATCTTAGCATCGTTTGCGTCATTTTGAGGATTTTGTTAGCTTCAGAAAGCTTTGAGCTGAGTACACCATCATGCACCTGTAGCGGTGAAAAAGTACATTATTTCCTCTTTAAGCACAAATCAAGAAGGAAGTCAATTCTGATTATCAGCTCCCTTGTTAAAGCGTGATCGTGGCGCTCTACTTTTGACCGTTTTATTGAAATTATGAAGGCGTAATAGTAACTTACCTGAGCTTGTGGGAACAGTTGCATGAGCATCCTAATAATATCTGGTCACATATCTACGCTTTCTTCGCGAACATTCTTCATTTCTTGGAATGGATGAAAACATATTCTGCTTTATTCCTTTCTTGCCCGTGTTTGGTTTTTTCTGATACATTTCCTTGGAATTTTTTTTCTTTCGTGCGTTGCCCTTTCCTGGTCTGCTCAGTATCAAATCAGTATCATTGATATATTCACTGAGCCGGCCAAATAGATTTGAGGCCATGTCTAACTTAAAAGCAAAGGAAGGAAGGAAGGAGCCTTATTCCTTATTCTGGACAAAATTGCGTTGAACGGAGAGAAAGAGCTGCACCCATGCCTCTTAGTGTGTTACAAATAACTTCCGAAAATTACGAAAGGTGAACGCTCGAAAAGTCTGTTTTAAAACTCTTCGAGGGACAACATCAGTTCCTTTAGTTCGGCCATGAAAAAACATTTCTTAGCATAGTGTTGTGAATAGAAAAATATAAGTATGTGGTTTGAATTAATTTTGTATACATACACTTTTAGCTGTAGATGATAGACGTTTTGCGATTGATATTCATACTTTGTACTATTCTTAATTATTTCATGATTACTCGGTAGATATGTAGCATAAAAGGCTCCTGGTTTATCAGTCATACTGTCGTGTGTTACCCTCTCTAAATAAATTTTTTACTTACTTATTTACCTACTTATTTAACGGTGGCCAATTTACGTTATTAACTCTGTTGTTAATAACAGATTACCTTGTAACTTTGAGTTGGCGTCGTGTTACGACAAAAAGTCGAGACGGCAATTGACAGAATCTTTGATCGAGAATCAAGAAGTTTCCAATCTTGAGTGATAAGTGCCGACATTTTCCGTGGCAGTACCCACGATCCTCTGAGCATACATTTGTTTTACTGTAGGACCGCTGCTGCTCAATGATGGTGGCAGTGTTTAATGTCAAGACCTAGAATTTTAAGCAACCAATTATATGGGCAAACATGGTAGGATGTCGAAAACAAATTTCTGCTCGATAACTACGAAGGGTCAAAGAGGAATGTGAATATATTTACTCTTCCTCATTTTTAAAAGCCCCACAATTTCTTTCTTACATTTTTTCTTTTTTATGTGAATGAGTTTCCCCAGTTAAGAACTTTGGTTTATAAAAGAGGTGGTAAACATAACTCAACCTACTTTTCAAAAAAACCGCACAGAATGGCTGCTGATAACACTTGTGGTTCCACAACATTTAAGACATCTAGCTGTCGTCTTTCACATCGTTCACTTTACTGCTATTGGATTGCAGTAGCAACCGGTCTGACATCAGTTATCAGCATGCTTGTAAGTTTTGATTGATTTGAAAATGCCTTTTGATATTTCGTTCTCACTGGAAAAGAAGTACATGCTTAAACAGGCATAATTCAGGATGTTACATTTTTGATGAAAATTCCTGGATTTCCAGAATTTCCTCTTGCCTGTGAGTGCATCTATTCTCAGAAGGTTCGACCGACGCATGTACACTAATTTTCTGGGTGCAGAGTACAATGAAATCCTTAGAGCAGCGGAAACCGAAGTGACCCTAGTGCTCGGTTTTAATTTACTAATACGAAAGATTGACCTTTGGTCGACAGCTTAAAAGCGAACACGCACGTCGTAGTCAGAACGGAACCCTTTTGAGTTTGGCAGCACGACGAGATCAATTGAACCAACCTCGTTCTCTGGGGAACTTTTGGTTTTTACCATTTTTTTAGCAAACTGAGTTGGTGATTGACAGTTTTTGTTCCAGCGTTCCGTGATAATCTGGTAAGTCCACTATAAAGTCAACACTATATCATTGCAGCAATGCAAATTAGAGTGCAGCTCGACTTTTCTGCTTCAGCGAATTTTGAAGGCTTACTGTGACTCGCTGTCATTCATGTTTAACTCAGCAACAGGAATACATACATACATACATACATATATATCTATATATATATATATAAAACACGGAGGAGTAGTTGAAGAACATAATCTCCTAGCCCTTACCTTAGAGGAAGGCGGAAGCTTAGCCGTGATACCTTAACAACAAAGATATTTTCATATTCAACGCCTTAGCATCCCCCTATGATGGCAATTATTTTTTGCTTTGTGGCTTACAGCCAGTAACGCGCTTTGCGATAGTAAGTAAGTAAGTCCGTGACATTTCGGAAGCTCTCGGAGCAGTCTAACAAAGTGAAATCGAAACCACCTCGGGATTTACTTTAGTCCTCTAATCGAATTTCACCATAATACTTTCTTTAGAGTTTATACTAAGTATTGCTGAACATACTTATGAATCGCTTTGATTGTTTAAGATATGATTTTGAACACAAGCCGTAAGAACAGTTAAAGTCCATTGGCTAATTGATTTGTATATGTAATCACATGAGGCCAAGTACTATTAAGGATTAATTGCACGAGAGTTTTCAAAATTTTCCAAAATTGCCCGAGTCGCGAAGCGACGAGGGCAATTTGGAAAATTTTGAAAACTCAATTGCAATTAATCCTTAATAGTACGAGGTCTCATGGGATTACTTGTTTATCAATAAAGGGCAAAATTTATACGAAGGAAAATCACGCGCGCAGTCTATTTTTATCTGGGAAGCCTGTTTAGCGCTACGGCAAATCATCAATCAAATTGAACTGAGCAATCGATTCAATGAAATTTTATTCTCCAAAACTGTGTCGTGATACACTGCCAAAAGTCTAGAAAACAAAGCTCATTTCAACAGAGCGTTTCTGCCAACAGAAAAACAACAAAGTGCTTTTAACTGAACAAGGTAATCATGCCCTCTCTTGATTACTAAAAATGCCCTCGATTAAGAAAAAATGCCCTCTCTCTCAACCAATCAGCGCTCAGTAATTTTGCCCTTTATTGATAAAATCAATTATCTTATGTCAACATTAGCTGCTGGATCAATCGGTAAACTGAGCACTTTTACGGACGAAAATAATCGTGTGCTTTTCCTACTGAAAAATAATTCCTCAAATTGGCTGCCGCATATCTTTAAATTCACTCAAAGTGTCTTCCTTCGGTGTGATCCAGATGAAGATCGTCCATCCGAGACCACTCGGATCACAGTGTTTGGGTGCGCAGTATCAGTTACCATGACAGTTGGCGTGAAACTCAAGTGCGTGTGGGAGTGGAATGCACTCAGCGCAAAATTTAAACGGAAACATCATGGCTGCTGCGTGTAGGGCAGTTGTTTAATTTTTCATGAATATAGCAATTTACTGATGATTCAGCGCTAGTAGAAGCGAACAGTTTTGAGGATGTTTTTTCTGCTGATGAACATCTTGGAAAGGAAAGGCCATGTTCGCACGAGAAGCATCAAAGACAACTTAAACGGACGGAGTTATAATGTTTCACAAGTCAGCTTCGAGCCGAGTCAAGTCCGAGTCAACTTAAATTTTTTCCCTCTTTCTAAAATAACATCGTAAGACAATACAAAGTTTGGTAAATTCGTGTATACAAGCTGCTTCTTCAATTTTCTGATAAATTTCAATCAATACAGACAAAAACAGGGCTAAATTACGACTACTTTCTACGACGAAATGGATGGTACTCCAAGCTATGAGCACGGGGAAAATGAGTATGATGCTCTGAGTGACTAATTTCGAATCCCTTGCCCAATGCATGGAACGCAGCAGATCATTAACCCGATGAATCTCTGTCCAGAGTGGATTCAATGATCAATGTGAAAACGGATTCAGAATATCCTGATCTGAATTCCTCAAAGGAACGCACCTCAAGTAAAAAAAATATATATATTTAAAAGGGAAACCTGTAGTCACAAATATTAAATTCCGAGGTATATCATTTCGAGAAAGAAAACCAAGAGGTTTGTTTTCAATTGTAAATAAAATGTAAACAGCGATTATCGTGTTGCAACGTAATATTACCAAGTGACGATGAGACGCGAGCTTTGATGAAAATAATTTATATCGTTCTATCAAACACCTTCTTTCAAGGTAAAATGCTTTCCGTTTCGAATTTGGATTTACCCGTTAAAAACCATAACGAGAGAAACTTTGTCTAGGTTGTCGGGGCCTGATCGTCAGCGCCTGCGTAGAAACGCCAGAAGTGCCCTCTAGGTGGATAGATGACTGCAGGATAATTTTAGACTTCAGCTTCTGCATAGAGAGCGCAAATAAAAAATTGGATTGTTGCAATTTTTCAATAAGAGCTACGAAGATGCTTATTTCTTCAAAGATTTGGCCTACACTGAATTTCGTGACGCCAAGGTAAAGACGTGGCAGACGACATTGCGAGAGTGACGTGTTTAAGATGGAAAATGTCTTTAATTTAAAGCTTACTATCCAATTTAAGGAATCGAAAAATAGGTGAAAACCTAGGCCTTTACTGAGATTTGAATCAACCTAAAAATTGAACCGTGAAAAATAATTTAAACCCTTATTTGTTGAATTAAGGAAAAAAAACTTAATCATGCACACCAAGAAAGTGGCAAGTGTGTCGCTGCTCATAACAGGCCTGCTCATTGTGATACTGGGTGTTATCATTGGAATTATGCTACAAAACGCAGCGGAGGAGAACAACGAGGAATTAGTTTGTGTGAACAGCAAAGAAAGCCCGGGATATGAAAGATGGGTGAGTGTTCTGCTGTACTTTTCCGATGATCTTCTTAAAGCGTTGACCCTGAGGACACGAACGTCATTTCTCTTAATGCAGTTCTTTTGTTTGAATCGAGTGTTTTTACTGTGCGTTTTAACTTAAGGGAGACCTGAAGAGCTCAGGATGTTTAACAATGTTTAGTTGAACTGATGTTTATTGGTCGCTATGTGTTGGATATTTTTAGGCAAGTCCGGGTTATTTTACAACTAGAGCTTATTACTGGAACATCTCCAACAAGGCCGGATTTCTTTATCGAGGAGAAAGACCCAAGGTACATTCAAAATAATCATGATTTTGAGATACAAAAATGTTGTCGCGTGAACTCTCTTATATATTGATGAGAGCTAGGAATTTTGTCCACTTCCCTCTTTTGGCGGTACATTTGGAGATTAATAATTATGCAAAGGCAACCGTTGTGGCTCCGCAAGATGCCAAGACCATTTTACTCCCTGCTAAGTTCGTCTGAATCACTCTACTGCGGAGTTCTGAACATTTTGAGAGAACACCCCTTCCTCAGTTTCGTGTTGCCATTACTTTCGAAACAATTAATAAGAGAAGTTTTAAAATAATAATAATTATTCAATACTCTGGTAAAAAGGCGCGAATTTGACATTTTCTTATTGAAATCCCTCTTTTCGGTGCACGAATTGTTCCGCCTACCATTCCTTTTACTCGAAGACATTGCGTAACAGAACTGCTTCTCTCTTGACTTAAAACTGTCACTTTTGGCTTGCAGTGCTTATTATGAAACCAGCATTTTCCAAACTCTGCTTTGTTGAGCATGATCTAGTTAGACGAGCACAATGTCACAATTTGGGTTGTATTCTTCCTCGGTTGTGATTTCACACTTATGAGAGATAGAGTGAGGCAGCTGAGTGAGTTAGGTCAGACGTTTCGCTCTCTACATGAGTAAATTTAAGGCACCTCGTAAAATCGGTAATTTTCACTTTCAAAATTATGCAGTAGTATTTTGTGTTTCTTTTAAGCTTCGTCAAAGAGGTCCTTACGTCTATAGTGTGACATCAAAGAGAATTGACGTAAAATTCGAGAACGGAAAAGTTACAAGCAAGAAGTTTGAACAAGCTAAATTCAACAAGACGCTTACCAACGAGGAATGTCCCACATGTAGCGAAAATGACGAGGTACGTTTTTAGGGGGCAGATGTTCTATCAAAACGAAAATTGTGAGTGATCCATAAAATCCGACGAGGTGGAGAATGTGACCATTTTCAAACCTACACATTCAAACCATCTTCTATTCTTCGCCGGTCATCTTAAACCATTGCACACCAAAGGAATTATTAATTGCGGAAATTAACACTCAACACTAAGAATTAGAAAAATACATATTAAACACTGATCTAATTTTTCAGTTTGAAGCCCTAAACCTTTAACAACATTTTTCATGGACCTTGAATGGAGCCAAAGAAGACAATGTTAGTCGGTGGAAAATACAGTCGTTCTCTCTGACCGTCAAAGTTATCATAAGAATGACAATAAACATTGCTGTAATTATCATTACCTAATCAGGAAAATCCTGATGTCATTATGGCACCTCAAAGTTTTATTTTTTTCAGCTTACAATATTGAATGCAGGTTACCTCGTCAAAGGAAAGGACCTGAGCCAGGTTCTTATACCCCTCGTGATGAACGTATTGTTCGCCGGGCTTTGGCAGCAAGGTCTGAATAATAGCCATATCCTCCTTCAAATGGGACAAGCCGACAATCAGCTAAAGTTGCCATACCCATCGAACCCTGCTTTTGGCTCCTGGATCAATTCATCTCCATATTTTGCGTCTCTAAGAAAAAATTACTGTCTGGTAGAGATGAACGGCTTATACAGTTCATTTCTGAACCCATCGAAATTCGGACCATTTACAGACACACCACTGCTAAAAAAATGCCTAAACGGCAGTTTGTTCAGTGTACAGTGCGGTCTTGTGTTAAACTTGAAATTCCTCTCCAAGGATCCTCGAGCTGCAGTATTAATACAACAATTATTATGTCCAGATCGGAAATCAGCATGCTTCAACGCCTCAAATACTCTCACATATCAAGCCCTCGGCGCGTTCATCTATGAACTTTCTAAATATGTCCTTTTTTTTCTGGAGAAAAACAACTTTGGGGCGACGACCACTCGAAATCAGAATGACTTGACAATTGGGTATGTACTACGGTTACCAGGAGACCCAACCGGAATACCTATCCCAGGGATAGTAACCTCACATGCCAATGAAACTTATGCCAGGAAGGTGGCAACAAGCTCTACATTCTACACCTGTGAATCCATGGGAGACAGATTTGCTTTTGCAGGTAAAGTTTGCGAAAGTTTGAACTTTTTTGCTCAAATATCTTCACGACATCTTCAAGAGGTTGAATTCAACATCGTAAGTGAAGAGGAAGGTTTTAGGCTCAAAAGGGAAAAATGTCTTATTTACGCTTGCCTGTCTTAAAGATTTCCAAGGTTTTGGTCAAATTCGAGTCATGTAAAACACTGATTCCATTAATGTTTTGAGGTCGTTTCCCCACAATTGATAACCTTATGAAGAGGAAATTGAGACCAAACTTCACAGCAAGCTAGCGAGCTATGCGGAGGCTTTTTGCGAAAAAAGAAAGGGAAATTACAACAAAAAATATTCTCTGTATACAATGCAGAAAGTATTTCATTCTATCGGCGACTTCCCAGATTCAAAGCTTCAGTGAGTAGAAGTATTTTGGCTAAAGATAAAACTTTTTCCTTTGGAAGGGGCTTCCCCATTTGAAGAGTTGGAAACATTAAATGACCTGTTCAAATATGTCTCACGTTAATCAGAGGATTTACTGCATATTTGTTTCGCCCGGGAGATTCAAAATAAGCCCTAGCCACTTGAATTGGCCTTTTCAAGGACGTATACCTTGCTTGAGCGGAATAATCACTTTTAATTTCTTTTGTTTCTTAGCGGTAGGCGGTGAAAGTACAGTTAGTACCAATCTATATCCAAAAGCGTCTAATGAACAGCTCAAGGTTCATGGCTACGGCACACAATTTCCTGGAAGGAAAAGTTTAAAAACTTGCTCAACTAAGTATGGTCCAACAGAAACCAGCTATGAGATTTTCATTTCTTACTTCCGTTTCGCCATTCCCTTCAAGTACAAAGAGGAGGTGGAAACAAACCATATTTCAATGCACAAATACTTATTGGATGAGTCTGCAGTTGAGGTAAATAACGTGACTGTGTTCACAAAAGGTGTTTTTGATGTGAGCCGGGTTTTGGAAGGTCCCATCTATGCCAGTCTACCGGGATTTCTTTATGGAAAAGAGTCGCTTTACAAGGATCTGGGCCTTGATACACCTGACGCACAAAAATACGAGTCTCTGGTAAGCTGACATAGAGCAGTTAAATCATTTTATTGGGAATATTCCTAAGACTACATAATTTAGAAAATAGAACGTTCAGAGGGGAAATTCATATTTTTATCATATGACCTGTGCAAGCCTGCGCCACTTTATTGAAAATGATTGGAAAAAAATCTCCATATGGGGGCCTTACGCCGTGACGTGAGCTGAGCAGGAACAAGCTGTACGACCCCGCAAGAGGCGAGGTGATAGAAAAAAAGGAAGAAAAATAAAGGGCGGCGGTTATACGATAAAGTGGTTATTAACTCACTCAGGTCGTGCCAAACGAGGAAATATTTGGTCCTCGGTCATGAAGTGCTAACTGCACTGCGCCTGGACTTGCGTCATGACCTCGAGCAAAATTATTAAATTATAATTACTGTTCATTCGCCTAGATATTCGCGACTAAACAGTGGCCGTATCAGAGGCTTCCACTGCATAAAATATCGACTGTTGTGACACTCTAAGTGTATATGTCGTCCCTGGGTGTTCCTTCTTAGAGGGGAGTAAGTCCTTCTTATCATTACACCCGGAAACCAAGACATTTCGTACGTTTACTTTACTGAATATATAATCAACTTAAGAGACGAAACCCCCGATTGGCCATACATGTATTCCAAAATTCATCACCCTGAAGTTGTTAGCCGGCTTGTGGTCTCTAGTACCCCAAGCGTAATATTACGCGTACTTCGAGTGCTGCTTGAATGTTCGATAGAGAACGAGCAGACGCTGCATGGGAATTACAAGTGAGTAAAATGCGCAAACAAGGATTGGTTACTTCTTTATCCACCCGCGATCTATGGAATCGCAATTGGTTTAAAATTAAATGAGGATGGACTGCCCTAGAAATAGGTCGCTGGGCTTGATCAATTCTTGTAGTTTACCCTCTTTGAATTCACCTTGGAGCTGTGCCCAATTTACTACGAATGGCAGAATGTGTTCAAATTTAACCACTGGTAAGTCATATCTCATTATGAAATGGGCCAAATTTAATTCCAACTATTACTTAGCATACGGAGCAAAAGTTCATTTTAGCAGATTTGAGTCCATTCATCTTGAAAACAAACCTCAAAAATGTGGAAAAGTGTTTCAATCACTTTTCCCTTGCCTCTTCCTTGTCTGCTAATCACATTGCCATCTAATAAGACCGCCCCCTGAGTTTGCATCTTATCCCAACCGCAATATTACTGTTTCTCTTTTTGTACATTTGATTTACGATCATACATGTAGATCGGGGAGAAGACCTTTCAGCGCACAGGGTTCACTTCTTCGAAAAACGGTCAGAGCTATAAAGGATTAAGATTTCGTAGAAAAGGTTGTGCTTATTCATCGTGGAAATGACAATAAAAGCTAAGTTTTTCGTTTGTGTCACGATGTAGTGACGTGTGATGTAGATCGCGACGTTTCGACTGCATACTGCTAGTCTTCTTCAGGCGATGAGGTCGACTAGTCATGCGTGATCCTATAAAGCATGATGCTCTGCTGTGATTAGTTGTTTTTCAACAGCTCTGATTGGCCCATTTCGATCCTTGCTGTTCATTTAGTAATTTGCTCCCTCGGCAGTCCGCTGTCGCACGGCTCTCCTGCTGTTGTGTTTTTTGATCGCGGGCATCTACGCTTCTGGAATTTCTATTCCACTATCCCTGTTGATGTTGCCAGGATGAAGTCTTATATGAATTGGGAATGATTGGGAATGAACAGGGAATCCTGTAAACTACGCCATCTTGTTTAGCCGGGTCGACAGCGTCTTTTGGTCGTACTGGCTGAGATCTTAGCGTAGTCTCCGACTTGAAAACAGCGCGTACGCCTTGTTGATTAGGATTTAAATTTGGTTCCGATTTGAGTCCATGGTAACATTCTTTATAGTTTGTAACTGACGATGGAGAGAAAACAATTACAAAAAGTAAGAATGTCAGCAGAACTATAGAGAAATTGATGAAAGTGTGCACTAACCTCGGTTAGCTGTTTAAACAACCTGTCCTGAATTTCTATTCCGACTGAGAAAAAGTTTTCTTTGTCTCAGGTAAGCATTGAGCCGATATCTGGGATTGCTACAAAACTTAAACTTCGTCTTCAGCTTAATGGAATCATTCCGGGAGATTTGTTGGCTCCCGGCACAAATGTGACTTTTCTCCACAAGGTAATACCGATGTCGTGGACGGAAATAGGAACAACCATGGACGCAGAGAAGGCCAAGAAATTAACTTCAAAGGTAAATGTACATATTTGTATCTTCTCTTGTTGAAATACAAGATCTTCAAAGAACGTTTTATTGTCTTGTCACGAGTGGGAGAGAGAAAAAAATCTAAGTCTGCCACGGGAAATCGAGCTTCACACATTCGCATTTAGCGCCCGATGGCTACCACTAAGCCATAGAACACTCTTTGGTGAGATGGGCTATAACTATGCAGGTTCATATGCAATATCCATCCAGGGTACTGCCAAGTTGCCGAGATTGGCGAAGTTAATTGTGTAGAGTGAGTTCACTTCACACAATAGGCCAAAAGTCAAGGTCACAACTTAAGATAAAGATGAAGATAACGCCGCAGAATGTTTCACATTCCCGCGATAGCGATTTCTTAGCACAAAAGCTGCCTCGTACCCAGGCATTTCCTGCTTTAGTACACGCGGCAGCGGGGTCACATCTAAGTCGTAGGAGACGATATGAATGAGGAAGAGTGCATATTCCATGATTTAACTTGGTGAAACGACTTGTGTCGGGTCAGCCTGTGGATTGCCTTGTGCGATCCACCCGGGAATTGTTTCTTCAATGCCTATTCTAAGTCAGTTCATCCCGTGTTAGGCTTGCATCGTTCCGTAAAAAATATTTACCGCTATTGTTTCACCTCTCTACCATAACAGGTGTTTGGAGACCTGCAGCTGTCTTGTGGTTTGCTATTAGCCTTGCCCATATTTGGTGGAGTGTTAGTCATTTTGGGTGTAGCCTTGATTGTCATGGCAATGAAGAAACGCGAGGTTGTAGCTGTAGTGTGAGAGTTCCTTAAAGTAGATAAAAACTTCGGAAGTCATATTGGACTGTTCACTCTAAGGATATCTATAGGCTAATACATCCGCTACGTGTTTCATGGTTCTGTTATTTGCTGTTAACTATGCAAGTGGTTATCATTAAGAAGTAAACAAGCTGTTTTTTTACTCCTAGTTCCATCGCCATTACCAGATGGTGGCCTGAGGGGTACTTTCAGAGTTTATTTGCAGTATTCTTGTTTCTCGTTTTATAAAGACACTCCAAGCGACGGCTAGCAATTGGCAGTTTGAGTTAGTTACATGATTAGTACGGCGATCTCTTATCCAACTGGGATTAGCATTACCCCATAGATAAACGACTATAGACAGGTAGCACCAACAATTTTGATACTGATAGTCGAAAGGAAAATTCATTATTTACGAAACCATAAGACAGCAATAAAAACATTCTGCTCTTTGATAGGCATCAAAGCTTTCACTATATAAGGAATTTGTCTCTTCCTTTTTCTCTATCGAAGTTATCTTGACTTGCGACGAGAACTCATGCTTCAAATTCAAAAAACTATCTTCGACTTTGAAATGAACAGGGATATCATACCACAATCATCTTCAAGGATACAGCTGATATTCTCTCCAAGATAAAATGAGTGCACACATTTTCCAATAGAAACTCCCCTGCGACTTTGCGTAGGATAAGGAACCTTGTTTTGTACATTACACAATTAGCTTGCTTACTTGTCTTGACACCCGAACCTAAATCGCGAGAATGTATTTGAACATTTTGGAAATTTTGTTGCTTTAATTATATAAATCATGAGTGTTGATTGAATTCGTATAAAAAGTACTAGGAATCTAGGGCTTCCACAACATAATTTCAAAAGAGCATATGACTATAATCACGTAACGTTCTTCTCTTCTGCAATATTTCTTACTGTGGTTTCAATATTTTGACGCAAAATGTTTTTTTCTAGTAAGGCCTCAATTTAAATGGAATTACGTACAAACATACCAAAACTGTACAGATGGGAAATCAGCCGAACGCAACTGAGCGAGCCGTAAGTAGATTAGTTTGAAAGCTTTGAAAAAATATCACGAGAGACCAAAGAAATACGAAATACACCTGCGGTTGTTTGCTCAATATATTCTCTACAAAATCACTTTTTCCCCGCAAACTTTGTTAGCGATTTACTTCAACATTGATTTTCCACCCTTTGGAAAATGTTCAAATATTTTCTTTTCCCTGGAATTTAAAAGAGAAAGAAACTCAGTAGCGAGACTTGTCAAAGAAACTCACAGCATCTATTTAAGTAGTATGATTGGTCCTAGCCTAAATGAAAACCGGAAGAAATTTTGGTCGTACATTCATAACTGTAAATCGGAGGACAATGGCATTCCTCCCTTACGATCTGGCCGTAAGCTGTACTCCACCGATAAAGACATGGCTAAGACGCTAAATTCATATTTTTATACTGTCTTCAGCAAAGAAAAGCTGCCAGCACTGTTCAAAGAAAATGCACAATATAATTCCATCTCCGACCTCAAA